TAGGGATGGCGTGCCCTGCAAGCCACAATTTTCAAGAAGAGACCCTGTAAATCCAAGACTAGCTACCAGACGTTGGCAGTATTAGTCAATTCAGGTATCCTGTTCCTGATTTCACTAGCCATGGCATCAGCTTTGATCTTTATTTAATGCTCACAAAACAAGAGTCCTTCTGAACGTACTAAAATGATGGGGCACGTAATGTTTCTCATAACACAACATATAAAGTTTTGTCACTGTCTTTAGAAGGCTGTAACTGACGCAAGCAGCCTAAAGCCATGAATATGCTAAATAAGATCTATCACAGGAATGTTAATCGTAGAGCCTTGGGGAGAAGAGAGGAGGAAGGTAATCTTTATTCTTTTCTACCTCCACACACATGCCCAGGTCTCCAGCACATCTCTTGCAGGGCATGGAAAGAGTCTGTGGCCTGAAATGCTGCACGGACCAGGGCTGAGAGGTGGAACAGTTGCTCAGAAAAGGAAGAAATGTTTCCAAGGATAACTGGACAAACTTTCTAGCATGAGAGAGGGGAGACAGCAGCAGAGCTGACCCCATGGGACCTGAGGGAGTTTGTGAAAACTGTTATCCCCATTTTACAGGAGAGAAAATTAAACTGAAAATTACTTTGCCATAAAAAGAGGGATAAGACGATTTATACACAACAAAGTGTATAAGATGATTTATATACACAAAGTGATGTATAAACACTATTTCAGAAATAAAGTGATTTAAAAATAAAAATAAGTACAAATCTTTGGGTAAAAGTAGGATAATATGCTATGTTGTCAAAAAGATAAAAACACCATGCTAGCTATTTCCAGCTCTATCAGTTGGGCTGCAGAACGGTTTTTAAGGCTTCCTGTCGTCTGTTCTGCCACTGCACAGCGCCGGCAGTGGTAGCGTGTGTTAAATAGAACTTCCTTGTGCGGTAGGAAATAATATAAAACAATAAGAGATGTCAAATAAAGACATAACAAAGAGAAGTTAAAACAAAACATTGCCGTTTTCTAACAAAACTCCACAATTTTCTGAAACAATTAATTTCCGATTTTTTTCCCCTATGGTATTTTATTCAGAATGTAAACAATTTCACTAAGAGCAATTTTCAGACCTTTTTGCCCATCCCTTTTGGAATTGCAAGCCATTACTCCTAGTATTATCACTAAAGGGTAATTGTTTCCTAACCAAACACGAGGAGGCCAAAAGGACTTCAAAGAACCATCAGAGAATCAGCTTTTCCTTCAGTATATTTGATTTTTTGTACCTTCTTCCCTTCTGCTTCATAATCTTTCTCCAACCCTAGAGCTCCACTATAAGCACACAAACATTGTACTTCTGCTCCTCTATTGCAGCATATCCCTGGCAGTGCCAGCAGCCTGCAAATTTTATCCATTTCTCAATGCTACCAAGAGCATGCAACTGGGTAACATATTGTCTCCCTACCTAAACAG